GGTGTCGCAAACACGTACAGACGTAGTACCGAACACGTACGAGGGCAAGGCGACGTAGGTGGACGATCAATACAGCAGGTGGCAGCACGTCGGCTACCCTGGCCCACGTTTCCCCTTTCCGTTCAGCGTATAGGGATATACATATAGCTACCCCTGACTGGCTCCTGGGTTCCTGGTGCTCCTGCTGCCGCTTATCCTGGTCAATCCTGGAATCCCGTTTCTGCCTCTCTGTGCGCTCCGTATAGTCTGCCTATGTAACTGTTTATCCATCCGCTTATGCGTATCATATATACACGTATATATATATATATATATATATTTGGTACAGATCTAACTGACCCAGGTACGTTTGACAGCTGGTATACACGTGTACGATACTTTTGGTTAACCTCATCGTTTGGTATTTACGTACGTATATACGTGGTCGAAAGCTGCTTCTTTTTAGCATGTTAAATCATACGTAATATCGTTATACGTAGGTATAGGAAAACGCGGGTTAGATAGAAATGAAAGTTTCGATGATTTTAAAATAAAAATTGGCAAATTCTTCATAGAATTGGGTACGTATAGGAAACGTATTGCGCGAGTGGTAAAGTTTACTCACTTTGCGTATATCTTCTAAATTGTGGATTTCTGGCGAGAGACCACCGTGCACGCACAGGAACTGTTGGTTCATGAGGGCTGCAAGCGGTAGGCAGTCGAAAGCGTCCATACACGCGTCGTAGACCCTCTCCGAGTATTTTATTTTACCTGAAAGGGGAAACAAAATTTTAGACTTAGGTTAGGTCAGGTCGGGCCAGATATTGGACTGTGCTTGGTTATGTTAATCAATGGGAGGGAGACATCGAGAATGGTCGTACACGGGTTTCTACAGAAACAAATTGACCACCTGGTAAATTTAGTGGACTTGATATACGTTCGGTAACTAGAGTACCTGCTACCACGGGATCTGTACACTATCAGACGGCTCTCGTACTTGACTGTCTACGGTCCCGGCGCTGAGTGACGTTCGAGACGGATTTGTTGGCAATAAGGGAAAGAAAAAGGTCCGACCAGTAGAAAAGAGACGTCCCTGACAACACTGGTCGGACAAGCCTGAAGAAATTGCTCGTTGAGTCAGTTTGCTCTTATCAGCGTTGGATCTGTTAGTTTTGGGATTTTATAACGAATCTTTTTGGGGATTTTATTAAAAAAAAAAAAAACACCTGATCGTCTTTTTTAATAATTGCAATTTGCTTATACGGACTCGATTTATGCATATAAAAAATTTATAAATATATATAAAAAATTTATTCAACCCCAATATATATATATATATATATCTGTATACGTCTTGTTTACATTTTTTAATATTTCTTTCTCAATACACCGTCCACTTCGGTGGTTCTCGAGAGACGACAGCAGCGCTTTATCTACCGGTAGAGGAGGGACGAAGAAAAAAAAAAAAAGACATAAGTGTACAAAGTGCAAAAGAAATATTGGAAAAGTCCTACGTAACATCGTATACACATTTGGCCTGATTCCAGGCCGTTCAGGCTTTTTGTTTAACTCAGTGAAAAAGTGACCCCCCCGTGGGCGCCTGCTAGATCCTGGTCCAGATGAACGTTCGAGCAGTCTCCCGTATACCTACCAGCCGCTATCCGAGAATAGTACGCACTACTGACATTGTACGGGACCATCCGTGAACACACCGCGAAAGCGTCTCTCCTGGGAATCTTCTTTTATTTTTGAACCGTGTGTCACGTTCGCGGATACATATAGGTATACAAGATACCAGTGGTCCACGGATGATGAGAGACTGATCGGAGGCTGTTGTTTATATGCTCGCTTTTTTTTTTTTTTTTTTAATACCCTGCATTAAGAACCCCTATGATTCAACCGTACAAGGTAATTATGCTTTTAAAATTTTGTACATATATATATCACCATATTCATATGTGGTCCATGCGATCCCATAAGAGACTTTGGGCTACGAGTGAATTTTTCAGGCTGCATCAAAAGTGTTTCGTTTAACCAGAAGACGAATGCCGGGTAAAGCAAAGTGAACGAAGGACGAGCGTAAGGAAAACGAAGAAACCCCCGTTCGTTCGAAACCTTCGCGAATTCTCGACCGTTGCAGGAGAATATTTACGAGCTGAAACGGAGGCGTCTAGTGCGCCGAGTATTTATGTGTCGTCGATATTGTCCCTCTCGGCGGGCAATATGGCGCCTTAAATGTGCGTAATAATACAAGAGGGTAGCCTGCAGGTAAAGGTCTGAGGTATTGCGACACAGTAGGGATATATATATATATATATATACATGTAACTTTCACCACTACCCTCCCTCACCTAAAAAAAGCAAGCAGCAACCCCATAACTTGAGTTCCGTGGTTATAGGCATATACGGTATATATACTGTATGTACCCATAGCATGGATAAAGTAACGTCCTCGTAACGCAGCGTGCTTATTCGATATTGGCCACATTGCTGCTTCATATTTTTAATGAAACTGGCTAACGGAAGAGAGAGGCATTATGGGTAGACCGAGAGAGAGAGAGAGAGAGAGAGAGAGAGAGAGAGAGAGAGAGAAGAGGACTCGAAATATATCAGCTTTGACGTACAGCAGAGACATTAAAAGGGGCAAATGAGCAAAAACAAGAGTTATATAAAAAAAAAATAAAAAAAAAATAAATAAAAGATCCTTGCGATTTAATTGAAAAGAGTCATTAAATTCGTGCTCCGTATAACCGAAATTCTACGTGGCAACGTGAAAGGGGAATTTAACGAGCTGAATTTAATCTGATGGAAACGACTGGATCTGTCTTTATAATTTATTATGACGTAATCGTTTTAATATCCTGAATCGGTATCAAAGTCCCTGCTTTGGTTACATCCGGTGCCGTTGGTACACGATACGACGTCTGGGGATTCGCCTTGCGAAAGGAAGAGGGTAAAAAAAAATATTCTTTTTTGTTTTACACATTTTTCGTGAGACAGAAAGGAAACAAGTTTTTTTCTTTAATATTAATTTTTTTTTTTCAAAATTAAATCCTTTTCTTTTACTTACATTCTTGCTTAAATGTGAAGTATTCCGTGAGATGCCGACACTCGTGGTTACCTCTGAGAAGAAAGAGTGTGGTCGGATGGCACAGTTTCAATGCCCACAGGTACAATACGCACTGCAACAAATGAACATGGAAGGATTAATTCATTTTGAATTTACGATGAATTTTGAAAAATACTCTCGACACGATGAATTATTCTCACGTGGAATGATAATGGGCACTCTGGCGAATACAATTTTTATGATAATAAAATTGAACGATGCCTTCGCTTTTTCGGCATTTTATGGCTCATTTAATTAAGCGGTGTTCACATTGTTTCGTGCTTGTCAAATTCAATGGGGATTTTAACCTACTCAACTTTTTTTCCTCGTCTATAAGCGTAAGTGGCATATATTCTCTTGGATCGGCAATTGCATGCGTAACCGAACTGGGGTAA